CGCCCCAGCGGGGCCCATCTTCCAACGCAGTGCTGAAGGAGGTTGTGAGTGGACAGCAGATGTGGAAGGAGCCAGGCAGGGACCAGAGGAACAAGGTTGGGACTTGTGCTCGCAGCCTGGGGTACCTGCCCGTGGGAGCGTCTGGGCTCTCGCCGTGCTGGAGTGGGAGACAGCAGTGCCCACACAGTGGCCAAGTCTCACCTTTACCATGTGCCTGAGGGCTGCAGGATGAGCTAACCCACCTGGCATGGAAGGTGCTATCATCCCCATTTAAAAATGAGGAAAGCAGGCTTACAGGGGGGCAAGGGCTGGTGTCTGAGTCTGGCAGCTGCACGCTAGCCCGGGTACCCTCAACCTCCATGCCCTCCTCTCTCCACCCAGTGCCAGTGCCATTTTGAATCTGGGCCTTCCCTGTAGCCCCCTCCTTCTGGGCCTTCCCTGTAGCCCCCTCCTGGCTGTCCTTCCCTTCAGCCCCCCCATGTCTGTCTTTCCCCTCAGCCCCCCCATGTCTGTCTTTCCCCTCAGCCCCTCCATGTCTGTCTTCCCCTTCAGCTCCCCTATGTCTGTCCGCCCCCTAAGCCCCCCATGTCGGTCCTCCCCCAACTCCAGACTCCCTGTCTCCTGAGCTGCTCAGAGGCCCTGGCCTGGTGCCTCCTGCACATCAGAGCTGGTGTCTCTGCTCCTTGCCCTATCTGGGGTCAGTGGTGGCCCTTGGCTTCTCTTCCTTATAAATAGTGTCTGCCGAGATCAGTGAAGGGGTGGCTGGCTGTACCGTGGGGAGATAGCGGCAGAGGGGTGGGAGGGGTGTTTGAGGACAACTCTGACGAGGAGGACGCCCCCCTTCCCTTGACACCCCTGCCCTGTCATCACTCTGGAGCACGGTGTGCGTGAAGAGCTTTGGACCAGATAGAACCAAGTAGAAACCATAGCAACGTCATCTATTAGCTCTGTGACCTTGGGCAAGTCAATTACTATCTCTGAGCTCATTGGTCAAAGGGATCCTTTTGCAGGGGGTGGTTGGGGGACCTAGGGGTGGGAAACGCATGACCAGACCTGGCATAGCCAGAAAGAGAGGAAGAGTTTATGAGCAAGTGACTCTTAATCTAATATAATGTAGAACAAGTATTTGGCACCGTCTGCATGCAAGGCAGCAGGTTGCTGGCCCTGGTGGGGCCAGTGGATGACCCCTCTGCTCCAACCTATTTTCACGGAGCCAAGTCTTTGCCAAACGCACTGTCCTTTTTTAGCAAGCTGTTCTCCTTCAAAGTGTCCAAAGTGTGTGAGCCCACGGCTTGTCATCTTCATGTCAAAGGGATGTTTGGGGGGCGGCCAGTGGGGTGTGTGTGTGTGTGTGTGTGTCTTATGAGGCTGCCATGTTTGTGCAGAACTGTATGATGGGCAGACAGGCCACCCTGGCAGCCCACTGTCCTAGGGCTCAGGCTGGAGATGGGTTGTGTGGTGACAGTGGGCATGGAGGAGAGGGGACTGAGGAAGGAGACCTCATTAGAACTTTGAGGCAAAGGTTGTGACCTTGTTAGACACCTGCAGAGGGTGGGCTGGGGGGGGCGCTGTGTGCGAGGGGAGATGGTGAGTTGGTGAGCGTGAAGAGCTGCTGGAGGGACGGGGAAGTGGCACACCAGGGGGCCAAGGTGTAGACGGAGAAGCTGGTTCTGCAGTGCCAGGGTCTGCTATACCCTGGGCACACCTGGTGGCCGGCCTCACCTTTCCCCCTCAACCCCCTCTGCACTGGGTGGCGGGAAGGGGCCATGCCTGGGGTGGACTCCCTCCCATAGTGTCCGCCCAGCTCAGGCCCAGTGTCCCTGTCCCCCTCCCCCAGACAGGGACGTGCACCGCTTGGTGTTCCCCGCCGTGGGGCCCCAGCATGCCGGCGTCTACAAGAGCGTCATTGCCAACAAACTGGGCAAAGCTGCCTGTTACGCTCACCTTTATGTCACAGGTGAGCCAGCTACCCCACCCGGCCAGCTGTATCTATAGACCCCAACTGCCCTGCCCGGCCAAGGGATGGGCTAGCCACAGGAGCTGGGTGTGGACAGGCCCTGGGCCCATCTCCTTTGCCCTCTGGACAAGAAGGTGAGCAGTTTGGTCTCTTTGGAGCCAGTTGGCCTCACCCCGGCCCTGTGGCTGGGCCCTGGGCCCCAGAGGCTGGGTGGGCCCGCATCACCTTTGTATCCAAAGCAGCCGGTGGACATCCACCCTATGGTTTTCAGACGTGGTTCCAGGTCCTCCAGACGGGGCCCCACAGGTGGTGGCTGTGACCGGACGCATGATCAGGCTCCACTGGAACCCCCCCAGAAGTCTGGACATGGCCATCGGTGGGTAGGGCTGCCCAGGGCTGGGAGGTGGGAGGGGTGTGGATGGGCAGGCTCAGATAGCAGGTACCAAGGGGAGCAGGTACAAGGCCCTGGAAGCTGTGGACTGGGACCGAGTGGTTGGAGCAGCTGGTCCCTTCTTCTCTCCCTGTGGGTGAGGGGGACATGCTCCTGTTCTGAGGGATGGCCTGCTTAGGTCCTGGTCCTAGAGGTGCACCCCCCCCCTTCCTGGCCCATGTCTTAGCTTCCCACCTAAGGTAGCGAGTCTCTGTGCTAGAAACTGAACCCCCTAATGCATATTCCATGGGCCTTGCCCTTGGCCAGGTTTGTAGTTAGCGAAGGGCCGACAACAAGCAGCAGCAGGGGAAACTGAGGCAGGTCTGAACAGACAGCTGAGGCCAAGCTCTAGGCCAGCGGAATTGGTGCCCCCCAGCCCTGGTAGCCTCTAGCTGCTGCCTGCCTCCCCTCGGCAGACCCGGACTCGCTGACATACACAGTGCAGCACCAGGTGCTGGGATCCGACCAGTGGACAGCACTGGCCACGGGCCTACGGGAGCCTGGCTGGGCAGCCATGGGGTTGCGGAAGGGCACCCAGCACATCTTCCGGGTCCTCAGCACCAGTGGCAAGAGCAGCAGCAAGCCCTCACCCCCCTCTGAGCCCGTGCAGCTACGGGAGCATGGTGAGCCCAGGGGTTCCGGTGCTGGGATCTGGGTCCTGGGGAGGAGGCCCCGGGGCCCACCTTCTGGCCCAGGTGGGTTTCGGTGTGCCAGCTATGATGGGGATGGGGCAGCTGGGTGGAACCCGGACCTACCAATAGATTTCCTTGTCACTTCTGCAACACTGCCTGAGTCGGGGGACAAAGCCGAGGCTATGGGTTCTAGTCCCAGCTCTGCTGCTTTCTGGCTGTGTGGCCCAGACCAAGTCCTAACCCTCTCGGAGCCTCAGTGTCTTTGGTTGGGAGTCCAGGAGTCACGCCCAGGCCAGCAAGAGCCCATGCTGTCCTCCTCCCAGGCCCACCCCTGGATGAGGCCCCCGTCGTGCTGGACAAGCCGGACATCGTATACGTGGTAGAAGGGCAGCCTACCAGTGTCACCGTCACCTTCAACCACGTGGAGGCCCAGGTCGTCTGGAGGAGGTGGGCCCCGCCCTGCGTACCCTGATCCCCGAGGGGGCTGAGCTCCCTGAGGCTGCCCCAGGTGACCTCCCTCTCACCTGGCCCGCAGCCGTCGAGGGGCCCTGCTGGAGGCCCGGGCAGGTGTGTACGAGCCAAGCCAGCCGGATGACAATCAGTACTGCCTTCAGATCTGCCGGGTGAGCCGCCGGGACTTGGGGCCCCTCACCTGCACGGCTCGCAACCGCCATGGCACACAGGCCTGCTCCGTCACCCTGGAGCTGGCAGGTAAGTGAGGTGGGCCTTCTTCCTGCTCCTCCCTCTGAGGGCCCCGCCCCCTCCTGGCACCCCTCAGGGGACACATATCAGGGGAACCCATCCCAGGCCCTCCCTCCGCATCCCAGCCCTGTCTGTCCACTAAATAGGGGCCCAAACTTATTTGGCCTTATATTCCACAATATTGGATATGTACATCTGATACCCTATGAGCTGGAGTCTGTTTTTATTTCCATTTTACAGAGGAGGAAACTGGGTGTCTGGCTCAAGGCCACACAGGCTAGTAAGTAGAGGTGCTAGGGTCCAAGTCCAGCTGCCTGACTTGACAGCCAGTGCATGCTCTTGGCTCCTGAGTTAACTCAGATATAAGCAGCAGAGGGAGACCAAGCAGATTCCCCAAAGAATAGGCAGAAGCCCCAGGACGGCCTCGCATCCCCAGACTCCCAGCTCTGAGGACCCCGCGCTGCCCTTTCTCTGAAGCTCGTTCAACGGGACTCCTGGCCTTTTGTCATTTCCCCTCTGTAGTGCTGAAGATGCCGTCTCCTGAACTATAGCATGCGTTCGGGAGTAATTGTTTTGTTTTTCGGGCTGTTAATTAACCCAGACATATGTAACTGCTGATACGAAATTCAGCTCAGCTGCAGCTAAACAGGGTTACCCGCTGGAACAGCTAGAATTCCCACCAAACGCAAAGAAAGTGACATTTTCGTTAGCTCAGACAGCCTGACCGTGGGTAAAGGTTTGTTCGCTGGTGGTCTCGGGTTTCTTTTAACTGTTGGCACTGGCAAGACGCGTCCTGTGCTTTGGTCTTCATAGACTGCTCCCTGCCCCCAACACCACCACCACCCCCACCTCCACCTCTACCACCACAGAGCAGACAGGGGCTCGGGTCTTGAGCCAGCTGGATGTGGGTGGGCATGCTACCCAGCACCCCTCCTAGAGTGGAGCGGTGATTTCTGGGAGGACGTGAAGTGACACTGATGTGTGTGTGTGGGGGGGGAAGGTGTCTGAGGCCCCTATGGGGCATCTACTGGCCCTGCTGGGAGGACAAACACATGGGTCCCAGTCCGCCTTTCTGCTTTTCCCTCCACTCAGTGCTCTGCTAGGTCTGCCATCCTGCCCTGCTCTGGCGTCCCCTGACCCCCCTGACAATATCTGCAGGTCTGCATACTTTCCCCAGATGCAGGAGGAGCCCTTGAATCGGGGACAGCCCTGCAGTCCGTCGCCCCTGAACAGTGACAGGGAGTGTCCCTCTCTACCAGGCGGGCCTACAGCTGGTATCCCCTCTCTCTGCCCCACCCATCCCACCACCCAGGCCGGTCCCCTTTCTTCACACACGCCCTCACACCCCTACTGTAGAGTCTCTGTAACCCGCAGGATGCCCTCCACCTCGCTGTAAAAGCAAGCTGGTGCCTCCAGTGGGCAGTGCCCCCCCATCGCCCCCCCACCCTCTTCGGGGGGGGGGTGCCTAGAAATCAGGAGCGCCTTCACGACGCCTATTTGAATGTGTACAAGCCCCGTGATGAGAATTAGAAGCTGCCCCGCCAGCACACAATGTGACCACGCGCTAAGTGCAAAAAATGAAATGACAGCCGTGCGAGGGAGAGGCTGGGTGTTGGGGTTAACTCTTGAGGGTCACCTGTGTGTTCATCTGGCCGGCTCCCAGATGGGGAAGGGCCCCTGAACTCTGAAGTACGATTCAAAAAGAGAAACTGCAAGACCGAGCCCGTGCCACGGCGGGGATCCTAGCGGGGTGGGCAGGCGCGCAGCCGCTGGGCGCGGACTGCAGGGAAGGGCGAGAGCCCACAGGGGGCGGTATCGAGCCGCCCCGCGCCAGGATCCGTGCCGTGAGGCGGGTGGGCGCGGGCGCAGGGGGCGGCCACCGGATTTCTCAGGAGCGGCAGTCAATCCCGACGTCTTTCATGCATGAAAATCACCTAATTTTAAAGCAGACAAATGTACGCTGGGGGTCACAGCGAGCAGGAGCAAGCCTGCGCCCTCTGCCGCCGTGTTTGTTCTGAGATGTGGAGAACGTCACGTTCTGACTTAAGGGCGCAACACCCCGGGGCCCAGGCAGGGAGCTGGGGTCTCGGGCTGAGCTGGGGAGCCCCAGGGGCGGGGTGCTGGCAGGGTGGGGTCCAGGCAGGGCCAGGAGATAGGCCCTCCCACGCACCCTATCCCTTGTGTTCCAGAGGCCCCGCGGTTCGAATCCATCATGGAGGACGTGGAGGTGGCGACTGGGGAGACTGCGCGCTTCACCGTGGTGGTCGAGGGGAAGCCCCTGCCAGATGTCATGTGGTACAAGGTCGGGGTGATGGCTTTTCCCTGGAGGGGATGAGGCATCCCGTGGGGTGGTAGGGGAGGAGCTCCCTGGGGTGGGGGTGGGGTGGGAAGCAGCAGAGGAGGGTGGGAAGAGCTAAGAAACAAGGGTTGGGAGGAAGACCTGGAAGTAAAGGTTATGGGGGAGATGGATGCGTTGCAGGCGATCGGGCCCTAGGGCAGCCAGAGGAGATGCTAGGGGCCCTTGGTGGGGATGAGGCGGATCTGAGGTAGGGAGGCTCATGGTCCTGAGGGACTGAGGCTGGAAGTCCTGCATCCCACCCCGCTCCTCAGGGAGAGGAGCTGCTTCAGGAGAGCAGTCACGTGAGCTTCGTGGACGAGGAAAACGAATGGTCCCTGGTGGTGGTCAGCGCCTCGGCTCAGGACGGGGGCGTCTACACCTGTACTGCGCAAAACCTGGCGGGCCAGGTCTCCTGCAAGGCCGAACTGACTGTGCAATCCGGTAAGCTGGGCTCGCTCAAGGGCACCCACCACTGGGGGTGTCTGCAAAATGCAGGCCACAGTCCCTCCCTCTACCATCTGCCCCTACACGGGCCCTCCCTCACCCTCACCACCTAACCTCAGGCTCTCTCTCCCCAAGCCCCGACAGCTATGGAAGTCGAGGGGGCTGGGGAGGAGGAGGAACCAAGAGGGAAGAGGCTCAGTGACTTCTATGACATCCACCAGGAGATCGGCAGGTGTGGGGCCAGGCAGGGATGGTGTCTGGGGACTGGGGTGAGGGCTGAGGGGTGGGGTTGGGTGGAGAGCTGGCTGGGTGGTGATGGCTAAGCCCATCCTGGCCCCTTCCCTGTGCCGCCCAGGGGTGCCTTCTCCTACCTGCGCCGTGTGCTGGAGCGGAGCTCGGGCCTGGAGTTTGCAGCCAAGTTCATCCCCAGCCGGGCCAAGCCGAAGGCATCGGCGAGGCGGGAGGCCGGGCTGCTGGCCAGGCTGCAGCACGACTCTATCATCTATTTCCACGAGGCCTTTGAAAGGCGCCGAGGGCTGGTCATTGTCACCGAGCTGTATCCCAAGAGGAAGGAGGGCTGGGAGGGAGGGATGGAGGGAGGGGCGGAGGGAGGGATACATGTATGGCTGGCAACATGTTTGACAGGTTTCAAAGTCTGGAGATGTAGGCGAAGACCTACAACCTCTTTCCATCTTTCCTCTCAGCTCAAACTTACTCCGCACCTACTGTGTGCCTGGTGGTGGGTCTGAGGGTTTTGCAGGTAGTATTTCTTTGGACCAAAAGCCCACACCTGTGGCCAGCTAGCCCGCCATTTCGGACTTGTGGTGACTGTGGGTGTGCAGAGTGGGGCTGTCCTCCCACAGACCTGTCACGGCTGAGAGCTAGAGCAGGTCCCTCCCCAGGCCTGGCTTTCAGGGTGCCTCTGGCTGGGCTCCCACTGCCCATTTTGGTTCACAGTTGTGCATTTCATCCTCTGAACCACCAGGGACTGACTCCCATGTACATGCCCCTCACCAGCTCACCTTGTCCCCGTTGTACAGATGAGGAAATGGCAGCTGGAGATTCAGTTGCCTGAGCCCGCACAGCTACCAGATGGTGTGTGTCTCCCTCCCCAAATGCAGCACAGTCTCTGTGCACGGCAGTGCCCTGTGATCGCCTGGTGGCAGAGTGGTTACAGGATGGGCTGCTAGCTGCCAGGAAACCATAACCCGCTCGGCCGGAGAGAGACCAGGCTTTCTACTCCCGTCAAGAGTTACAGTGTCGGAAACCCACAGAGGCGGTTCCACTCTGTCCCATAGAGTCACTATGAGTTGGCCATGAGTTTGGTTTCGGGAGTTTCTTGGGGACGGGGGTGTTCTCTGGTGATCACTAGCTGCTCCTAGGGAGAAAGATGAGGCTTTCTCCTCCTATGAAGAGTTACAACCTTGGAAACCTATAGGGGCAGTTCTTGTCTGTCTGGCGGGGTCACTATGATTTGGAATCAACTTGAAGGCAGAGTTTTGGAGTGAGCATCAAAATGTTATTTGGGAGTTGCTGTTGATACATAGAACCTGTCTTACTCTCTCATCACAGCTGTGGTCAAACCCAGGCACCTGGAGGTGCAGCTAGCTGCTGGGCAGTGAACTTGGTACACTCACTAGCTGTGTGAGTGAGCGCTGCCCACCACCCTCCCGGCCTGCGCTACTCAGATCCGGCCCTCAGCAAAGTGATGACACCATTGACCTTCAGAGTGGTTTTCAAATAGTCCAGAACTCCCTCAAACCTGACCCCGGGATCCTTCCCAAGGAGGGCAGGAGAAAAGGCGGGCTCCCCACTTCAGACCTGAGCTACCCAAGAACCCGTGTGTGTGTGTGTGTGTGTGTGTGTGTGTGTGCACCCGCGCGCGCTCCATCCCATCTCTGTGACCAGACAACAGCTGGGGGCGGGAGGAGGCAAGTCTCTGGCTGGTATCAGAGGTGTTTAAGGGAAGGTGACCCAAACCCCAGTGCAGGGTGCGGGCACAGACCGGGCAGACAGTGCGGCGATTCTGTTCTCCTTGATCCCGACTGTAGCTGCACAGAGGAGTTGCTGGAAAGAATGGCCAGGAAGCCCACCGTGTTTGAGTCTGAGGTGAGGACAGTGGAAGGCAGGGACCAGGCTGGGCACCAGCCCTCCCCACCTGGGGTGGGTCCTAGGGGTGCCCTCTGTGCCCGGGAGGAGGTCAGGGGTGGTGGGGGTGGAGAGCCTTGTTAGGGAACAGACCCGCCTTCCACATCCACCTGGGCTTGCACAGTGTCTGTAAACCCAGCCCTGACCCTGTTGTTTCCTTGTCTGCAAATAAGTCTTTCCTGGGCATTTCTTCCAGAAGGACACCCTTCCCATTCATGCCCTCTCAGTCATGCTACTCTGCCGAGTACAGGTCTACTGCACACATGTCTGCATAGGGCAGTGCATGTGGTCCCACCCTAGACTTGTGCTGTGCCCAACCTGTGCAGCTAGCTGTACACGGTGGCCCTGGATCTCAGAAACCTCAAGCCTGTGTTTCAACTGCCCCCAGCCATCCCTCGGCCTGGCCTGGCCTCTTGTCACCACTCTGAGAGTGATCAGACCTAAGGAGGGGCTTTAAAAATTCCATGGATAAAGCCCCATCATCTTGTCATTCCATTTACAAAGCCCCCTTGCAATACCCTGATGTCCCCCCACGCCCCCACTCCGCTGGACGCTAGCTCCTTCTTGACTCCACAGATCCGGACTTACATGCGGCAGGTGCTTGAGGGAATAGGTTACCTGCACCAGAACCATGTGCTTCACCTGGATGTCAAGGTGAGGTGTAAGTAGGGACAGCGGTGGTCATGTTCTGTGAGAGCCGGGCTGCCAGGCACCCTCCCTTCTCACTTCGCTCCTCCTCCTGCTGGTGTCCGCAGCCCGAGAACCTGCTGGTCTGGGACGGGGCGGAGGGTGAAGAGCAGGTGCGAATCTGCGACTTCGGGAACGCCCAGGAGCTGACCCCGGGAGAACCCCAGTACTGCCAATATGGCACACCTGAGTTTGTGGCACCTGAGATTGTCAACCAGACCCCTGTGTCCAGAGTCACTGACATCTGGTAATGCTGGTGTGCTGGCTGCTGGAGCAGGCCAAGGGACTGCCCTCCGTGCTCTGCGGGGGTGGAGGTTGGGGTGGTGTGCCCTGCTGGCTACAAAGAAAATCTCTAAACAGGGGTCCGCTCCTCCAACAGTGTGGTGGTAGCATTGATCTCAGGGCTCCTGCCCATATGACCCATACCAGTGACTCCTGTCTCCCCTGGGTGCTGAGCTTTGGGTGGGGGTGGCCTCCCTTTCTGCTGCTGCCACGCATCCCCCAATGAGAAAGGCATGGTCACACAGGCCCTGGACTCCCCTGGCTGTGGCCCGTGACTCCTGTAGACCTGTCTGGACTTCTGGGTGCAGGGTCTTCAGGGCAGGAGGCATCCCTGCACTCCTTGCTCACTGAAGAAGCCCGTCTCTCAGGCTAATGCGGACAGAGAGTGGCTTGCCCAGCAGGAGCGGGGCTCATCTCTCACCCCGCCACTCTCCTTCCCTGCAGGCCCGTGGGTGTCATGGCCTTCCTCTGGTAAGGACCTTACAGTCGGGGCCCCTTCCCATAGCAGCCTCCCCACAGGCCCACCCTAACATCTGCAGGGCCAAGGTCAAGAGGGCCATTGCGGTGTAATCCGCTGCCTGTGCTCCATACCCCTGGAAACAGCCACCCCCTTAGACCTGGTGTGGGCACACGGGGGCTGCTGGGAAGGATTGGTGGAAAGATACCAGTGCAGGCGCAGGGGTGGGTAGGTGGGAAACAATAAGGTCTGAGTGTCGAGACCTGGGCCAGAGTGGGGGTGCCTCAGGTTTGGGTGGGCACATCCCCTTGGCCTGCAGACACCGTGCCTCCTAGTTGCTCAGGCTTGGGAGAAGTGCTGCCTCCCAGCCTGTCCTAGGTGCAGAGGTACAGCTCCTCCACCTCTGCCTGGCCCTCACAGCAGCCTCTCCACCCCTGCAGTCTGACCGGGATCTCCCCCTTTGTTGGGGAAAATGATCGGACAACGTTGATGAACATCCGGAACTACAATGTGGCCTTTGAGGAGATCACCTTCCTGAGCCTCAGCAGGGAGGCCCGGGGCTTCCTCATCAAAGTGCTGGTGCAGGACCAGCTGTGAGTCCCCTTCCTCTGCCCCTTAGCCATCCTTTCTCCCAGTGCCTCAGCAGCCATGGTTGCACAAACATGCCTTGAGTGACTGCGTGAGTGAGTGCATGAATGAATGAGTGACTGCATGAATGAATGGATGAGTGAGTGACTGGATGAATAAATGAGTGACTGCATGAATGAATGAATAGGTTATTGAATAAATGAATGAGTGACTGGCTACATGAATGAATGAGTAACTGTATGACTGAATGAATGAGTGAATGAGTGACTACACGAATGAGTTAGAGACT